AGCCTCCGTCTGAGGGCCCCACGCCTTTCTGGACAGATGCCACTGTGGGCGTCGGCCCCACGAGCATGGCCCTGTCCCCATCAAGATGTGACTTGGGCCGCCCTTGGGTGGGTGCACAGCACCTGGGGAGATGTTCCCCAGCTGCCAGGCGGGGTGCTTGCTGGAGAGAGAACAGGCTTTGCCCAGACACATCCGCGTCCCTACCCCTGGCGACCCCGGCACCCGGCGGCTGGACCCTGGGGCCTGGCTGCCTCCCACTTTCGCCTGCCCCCGCCTGCGCCCGCCCCTTCCCCTTCCCCTTCCCCTTCTTTTTCCTGACTTCTGCTGACCTCCTGTGCCCTCCGCCGGTCCCTCCCGCATGATGCTGTCACTGCAGCTGTGCTCCTGCCGCTCTTCCCCAAGTGAGTTTGCGTGACTTTCGCACTGTGTTCCTGCTTTGGGACCCGCCGCTGTAATGATGTCAGTGGTGGAGGCCCAGACGGCGGCGGCAGCAGCAGCAATGAAGCCTGACGTGTTCTGGTGACTCCCTCCTTCCCACCCTTGCCGGCCGAGCCCACGGGGGCGCAGGGGCTTCCTCGAGGCATTTACGGAGGGGGCTGAAGGAAATCGGGGGGCCCCCAGGTGCCAACGGGGCCCGTGACCTTTGCTGCTATAATATCAGTGTTTCACCAACAGGGCGGTTCGGGAGCCCACTGGCAGCCCATCAAAAATTGATTTAATTGCAATTTTTCCTCCAATTAGGAGCACTGGAGCCCGACTAACTGGAGTAATGGAGAGTAATAAGGCTCAGATAAAAGCTTCCCTCGGCCGCCTTTGTATCCCGTGTCAGGGCCTGTCAGAGGTCAGAGGGCTTGCATATTCTATTAGGCAGCCTGGCCTTCATTTGTACAAATTAGTTTACCCAACAGTAATTAAAATGCCAGTGCGGGTTGGAGAGGCCTGAAAACACTTGATGGGCATGTTGGTGAATGATGTGACAGCCCTGGTGGCCTCCCTTGCCAAAGTGTGTCAGCCGGGCTCAGGCTGCTGAGGCCTGGGCCAGCCGGGCGGCTCCGGGCCGGCCAGGGCGCACTGCTGTGCCTGCCTCGGGGCCACTGGCCCTCGCTCACAGGCGGAGTTGTCTGTTCGTGTGTTGACGCGCGCATTCATTCGTTCGCATGCGTTTGCGTTTTCAGCGTGTGTCGAGACCCGCTCTTGGGATGGGGCCCAGACCAAGTCCACAGGTGGGGTGGGGCGGGCGGTCCCAGACTGGGCTCGAGTCAAGACGGGGAGTGCCCGTTCCAGCCCGCTAGTTGCTACCTGCGTGAGCTAGAGTGAGTCCCGTGAGCGCCAGAGCCTCGGTGTCCTCTCCTGCACGATGGGAAAGTGGTTCCTGCCGCCTGGCGTGACAGAGACCCGCTGAATGCTCTGCAACACTGGCTCTGAGCCTGGTGCGTGGTAAGTGCTCAGGAAATGCAGGTGTTCTTCAGAGGACCTCACCCACGGGGAGGCGGCGCCCCCCGCTTTCCGCCTGCCCACACCCAGCGTGTCTCCCTTCTCCCCGTCCTCCCCTCTTTCCTGGGACTTGCTGTCTTCTGTTTTCTTGTGAATGCCAACACGTGTCTGTGTCTCCTTGTTGGGCCTGGCGATGGTCCCTGTGGTGCCAGGGTCACGCGAGCACTCCCTTGCCAAGCCGGGTGGGTGCAGGGTCTGGGCAGGAGGGGGCGCTGTCAATGGTGGCTTCGGTGAACAGAGCTCACAGGGCCGGAAGGACGCCTTGACCTCTGGCTAGGCACGAGTGTGTGCTTGTGGGGGCGCAAGGCTGCACGCGCGTGAGAACGCCCAGGGGCTGTCAGTCCTCCTGGGCTTGTCTGGCTGTGCGGCTGCGAGGGGCCTCCACCCCCAGCCAGCTTGCCTGTGTCCTGTGTCACTCAGGCTCGAGTCTTTGGTGACCTGGAATCGTCCCTTAGGAAGCAGAGGGTCCGGCTCCGTGGCCCGCAGGGCCGGCTCCCTGGTGGTGCTGGCTTGGGCACTGCAAGGCCCTCCGCTCAGTTCCCCAGGCCTGAGTCAGGCGTGGCCTCTGGGCCGGGCGCTGGTGGGCACCGAGCACCCAGGACCGCCGGACGGTTGGTGATTGCAGAGGCGAGGTGTCCCAGGGGTGCGGTGAGGGCCAGAGGGAGGATGGCAGCCTTGCTGGGGGACCACTGGCTCCTGCCTAGCCCAGTGGGCGCAGGTGTGATGTCCTTGTCCCTGGGATGCCCTGCGGGGAAGAGGCGGGTTTTTCCTTTTCCAGCGGGTGCTTGTAACCCCAAGTAGAGGCAGAGGGAGCTTTCTCAGGAGGAGCCACAGAGGGGTGAGTGTTTCTGCCGGGTCAGTCTCCAAGTGTCTATGGAGAGCCTTTGGCGTGCGCGGGGTGGGGCCAGCTCCACGGGGGTGCGCGGGGCGGGCGGATGCTGCCGAACGGCCATTGGAGCCCTGGGGAGGTTAGAGCAAGGAGGCCGCCCACTGTGGCCACATGCCTCTTCCCAGCAGCCTTCTCTTCAGAGCACTTGTCGGGGGTCCGCATGTGGAGACAGCAGGCCCTGTGTGCAGCTGCCGCTTTGGGGGTGAATTCCCGGAAGTCTGGGCTCCGCTCTCCCCTTCTGTGCCACGGGAATAACACCTTCCGTCTCAGGACTCACTGAGGGCCGGGAAGCATCCTTGGCATTCCCAGCAGTGAGCCCATCTTCTCCACCCCACGTGTCTGTGGCACCCAGGAGCCTGGCAGGCACACCCTGGGAACCTGCCGGCTCGGAATGCTCCGGTCTGTGGCTGGGGCTTGCTGGCCTCATGGCCGTGGGCAGGGGGAGTGGGCTGGGGCAGCCGTGGCCACAAGCCGTGGGGAGGCATCGGGGTGGACAGGACAGTGTCTGCAGCCGTCCTGGCCTGGAGTCCGGCGGTCCCCGCGGTGTGGTGTGAGTCGGGATGTCCCAGTGGGACCTGCTCACAGTCGGGCTGAGGGTGCAAAGGCGGGTCCTCGCAAGCGCCCGGAAGATGCTCATCCCGCCGCCCCCGCTGCGGTGTGTGGGCCAGGTAGGAGGGCGGCGTGTCTGGGCGTCACGCCCAGGCGGCCGGGAGAGAGAGCCCTCCCAGAGATGACTGAGGGCGGACAGCCAGGGCCGGAGGCGCGGGCCCGAGTCAAGGCCCGGAATCCCAGGATGGACGTTCGCACCCCCACCCCAGCCCGCCCGCCTACCGGGAGGTCAGCGCGCGGAGTGGCAGGGATTAGCATTCCGGGTCCTCCCCTCTCTGTCGCCTCACCTTGTTGCTAATTTAGGCCTGTGGCCAGTCAGAGGCTGCGGTGGCCTCCTCAGGAGCTGTCTGGCTGGCCCCTTCACCTGGCCCCACTCCTCAAAAGTCTGGAGAGTGCAATTGCCCGCTCGAATGCTCTCCAAGTGGCTATTATGTCTCCAGCCTGAGGTAATTGGCTTTACCAGTTATTAATGGATTAGCCCCGAGAGAAGAACGTCAGAGGCAGGTGAGGGCGGCGCCCCCTCACTTTGTAGCTTGTTCTCAGGGTCCAGGCTGGGGGTCCCTGGGGGCGTGGCAGGGGTGGCTGTCTCTCCACTCTGGTTTCATGGCTGCTAGCGTTCCCGTGGGTGCGGAGGAAGCCGGGATGGTGGGGCGCGTCCCTGGAGCAGTGACGTGAGGCTGAGCACCAGGATGGCCGGCTTGGCCTTCTCGTGAGCCTGGGGATGAGAAGCAGACACCTGCCCCGCAGTTTGGGTTGTCAGCCGGCCTCACCCCGGCCCCTGGCTCCTCAGGCCCTTCCTGTGGAACTCCACGTCCTGCCCAGGCGCAGGGGCTGCGCCCCAAGCCGAAACCATGTCACTAGCATGTGTGGCGATATGGCCCTGTAGGGCCGAGGCCCGGCCCTGCCTCTGCTCCCGAGGACACGAAGTTTTCGACTCTGGCTTGCTGTTTAAGCTTTCCAACCTGGGTTTCCTGCAACTTCCTCCTCCGCCCGGCCGCTTCCTCCAGCAAGAGAGGACCTGGCTTACAGGTCAAGTCTTCGTCCTGCTGACGGCGGGCCTGGCCCAGCGCAGTGAGCCCTCATTGGGAGGCCTCTGGGAACCATGGTTGGCCTGTTCCTTCTCCCTGGCTCTT